CCTATATTAAGTATGATGGTCTTCGAGTAAGTCAGATCATGTTGCACGTACACTTTTATACTTTATATTCTATAGTTGCAAATATTTTTTTTATTTAAGTAATAATTCAAGTCGATCGAAATATTAAAAACATATATTTTAACAATTTGATTGATAAACAGATTTAATAATAAAGTATTTGGTATAAATAGATTTAATTGCAACGTATTTGTTTTTTTTTTTCCTTTCTCTTAGATATATAAGGAATGAGATGGGGTTTTATTTTTATTAGTTAAGGGTAAGCACGCAGACAGACATGTCGTGATTGTGAAGGTCAAATTTATTAAAAACATTTAAACGAAATACCCGGTTGTCGTTTCATGCGTTTTGACTTGGAAATAAATATAAAAAGAATGAGGAGAATAATTAAATATTTGGGAAAATCAAACAAGGAAACGGGAGCCAACTGTTGAAGCATCTGGAAATATTCTCGTAATGCTGGTTTTCTTACAATCGAGACGGACAAACATCGAGATTTTGCGGTTTGGCCGCTTTGCCTTGTTATTGTACTCTCGACGTGTCGACAATTAATACAACAAGACATGGGGGGTTTTCTGACAATTGGACCGGTTTGGAATAATAATTGACTCGTCCAAACAATAACTGCGAGTATATGAGTTTGAGAAATGCATGTTCTTGGCAGTTTTGTGCCTGCGTCGGAGATTTGGCTACTGACAAGTGGGTTGTTTATGGGATGTCCGGCCTCCATATATTAATATTAAGAATCCTATTTTATGAAAATTCAAAATTATCATATATTTTTATTTATTATTTATTTTTATTTTATTTAATTGAGTGGTTTAACTAAACAGGGAAGAATGTGTTCATCTTATAAAAAATATTTTATTAATATATATGTGAGTCATCTTAAAAAAATATTTCTGGATTGGTAGTTAGTAGAACGTTTAAGGCTTGTCAGAAACCAAACACTTTATCTCTACAGTATTAACCATTTGGATTATTACTTTAATCAATCATTGAATCGGACAAAACTCTGTGATTATTAGACGTTGGAATTCGTCTCTACCCGTTGGTTTCGCTTGTGTGAAAACATGGTAATTTGAATGAGAAAGGGAAAGACAATAAAAGCATAGCTTGGAAATTATGAATATGAATGATCCCATCCTGATGTCACGTAATTATATATATATATATCATTAATATAAATTTATCAAACGATTTCAATAATAAAAAAATATTATTATTTTTAGAGAGATTAGATTAAAATAATTATGTTTATAATTCATACATTTATAATAATTTAAAAATTAAAATAGATAAAAACTGTAATTATCTTAGGCTATTCGATTTTAAAAAATAGAAAAGAGTAAGGGTGGGGTAAAAATAGAAGAAGATGAACCTTGAGGACATTAAACGGGAAAATCAAAATAAATTATTGAAGATTGAGCAGCGTGTGCTCCGCGTGGGACCAACCATTTCCGCCATCAGCTTTTTTTTTATCGTATTTCTTCATCGGAAATGGCGTGAATGATGGAAAGAAACCCTATTAACATTTAAATTGAGAAAAAAATCTAAAATATTATTTAGACTTGCATAACAATGATCCTTATTCTTCAAAAATCAACGGGTATTAATTTCATGCAATTTGACCATTTACATTGAATTCTTTTGGAGCTGCCCAAATATGTATACAGTAATCAAAACACGATCCATTTTTTCTGTGCCCGTCTCATTCTCCGGTGTGAACTATATTGCAGCTGATGGTACTGTCATTTCATTTATGGGTGGAACCTTCCATCAAATTACATCATTCACACTCATCTCTAATTTCTCTCTCTTCGTACATTATTGTTTTTTTAATAATGAGAAAAAAAAATCAGAACTACAACTATAAGAGAAAATTAAAGATAATAATCACTAAAAACTAATATAAAAAATATATTATAGGTAAAAGTACGAAGAAAATGAACTTTCTATTAAAAATGACGATCAACATAAAAAAATCTAATAATCTTTATAAAAATTTATTGTCTTTGTCTATTTTCAGGAAAAAAAAACTCATTTTCTATCTCGTAGAACCGGATGCACTAAGCTTTCACATGGTCAAGTGCATCACATTATTTTAGAAAATAGTTAAATTTAGTTTAATGTGTTAAGAGAAAAAATAAAAAATTTTGCATACCCATTATTTTAAAAAAAAAAATTGGACCGTTATTGTTAAATTCATAAATTCGTCGCCGCTCTGTTGAGCAAAACACTTTACAAAGTAATTAAGGAGTGGTGAGCGAACTAAACTATCTGGCAAGTTGCTTCGCTACACAATTTGTATTATATCGACAAACAACCTTTTAATAAAGAGATTATATGACTATACATGACCACCGACAAAACCAGTCAGAAAATAAATGTCGAGATGGTTTTTATGTAACACCAAAACGATCGCAAATGTATACCAAAACATACCAAAAGTCCTAGAGATCGTGCCACAAGAGTAAAGAAATTATGTGTCACAAAAACAGAGAAAATCGTGTCACAAATACATATTCTTATTCAAAATTAAAAAAAAGACATAATATGAAAAAGTAAAAGAATTAGTAACCATTGACAATTAAAGAAATAATTATGCTAGTTTTGTTAACTACCACGTAAAATATTAAATGGTTAGTGGCTTGATTGATAGCAATTAAATAGTTATATGGTATGATTGACCATAATTGAAAGATCGGTGGTAAAAATAAAAAGGATAAATAGTTGAGTGGTTAATGATATAGTTTACCCTTTAAAGTAACATATTTGTTTATTAAATTTAAATTAACATATACTCGTACATAATCTTTAACCTTTTATATTTGAGTTAATCTTAAAATTATTCACGAACCAAATGATTTCGGTGATAAAATAATTGTTGTTATTTTTTGAGGTTCCGAGTTCGAACACCAGAAATGTGAGCATTCAATGTTAAATTGTTAAACATATACTACCTTATATTTATTCAAATTAATAAAAAATCTTAAAATTATACATATATTTTAAAGATAAGGATTAACATGTAGGTCAAATTCTCTCAGTTTCTTAGTCCGTTTGTTTATTTCATTCTTTTATCTTCGTTGATAGATTGATAATATTAATTTTAGGGTTGGTTGTAGATTATCGATATTTTTTTAATCTTTTTAAAGTTTTAATAGTTAGATGTTTATGACACATTTTTTGTCTTTATGTTATTTTTCTTTTATCTGTTGGTAAGTTTTAAGTCTTTTCTATTAGTCCTTTGAATTTTTTTTTATTGATGGTCAAATATGTTTGTATCGTCTTTAGTTTGAGTTTTTTAGATGAATTTTAATTTTTTTGTATGATTATTGTATGTTCTCAAGTTATTAACTTCTTATATAATAATTATAAAAATATTATAATTATATATTTAATTTACACGTATAATTATAAATTTTTATTGTAATTTTAAATATTTATTTTTTAATAAAATTATTGTATTCACACTAAAAAAATCTTAAAATTATACCAACAACTATTTGGTCTAGTAAGAATATGCACTAGATTCCTTAAGCAATGTTAGGGCAATGGCGAGTGCACTAAGCCCCCACAGGGGTCAGTGCATCCCTATTATTTTGGAAAAATGATTAAATTTAAATTAGTGTGTTAAGGGAAAATTATAATTTTTGCATACCCATTATTTTTAAGGAAAAAAATTAAAATTTTAGACACATTATTAAATTTAATAAAATTATTGTACTCGGACTAAAAAATTCTTATAATTAAAATGATTAAATTTAACTTAATGTAAATCGGATTTTACATTTAACCCACATCAAGCTGGGTTGGTGTTTGATCGGGTGTTCTAATTTCAAGTTACTTGTGGTGTAAGCTAATATAATGGATTAATTAATCAAGTTGTTGGACTGCTCAATCTCAATTAATTGATTTTAATTAACCAAGACCAAGTAAATGCTCTGTCAATACGGACTCGGTTAAAATAATGTGGTGATTAAAACACAACTTGGCAATGTTTGTTTACCATGAAAACGTCAGTCAAAATACATCACCTAATCTACCCACTCCATTTCTTTTTATCATTTTTTCTTCCCTCTACATGAATCTTTTCAAGAGCCTCATTTCTACCTATTTCACTTTTAAAATAAACTAAAATAATTATTATTTTAGTGATTTTTCCCCCAAAAACCGAACCCATTAATCATATTTTAAACCCATACGCCTATAAAAGTAACAGTTATTACTCTTTTAAAATTGTTTATGAAAATCACAAACCAACTTACCTAAATGGTTAAAAGAATCATTATTGTTCTTGGAGATCATAGGTTTGAGCACCAGCAGAGTGGTCAAATAGTTAAAAGTATTTAGAACAAATAGTACTTTATAATCATATTAGCTTGATAAAAAAATTGTTTATGAAAAAAATTCTATCAGCCACGATATATATATATATATATATCCTATGACCAATTTTTTAATAGAAACAACTAATTTTATTTAAAATAAAAAATATCCTAAATTACAATGAAGATTTACAATCATGATCATAAATTAAACACATAATTAAGATAATTTCATATAATTATTGAAACAAAAATAACAACTTAAGGTCATACAAGGAAAGATTAAAAATCTAATAAAAAAACTCGAATAAAGTTGAATACAAACAGATCTGATTATATCGATAAACAAACCACAAAAATCATACAAGGATCCTACTGTTGACAATTGTTTTTTCAATAATATTAGGTGATTATGAGATAACATATATTCTACTATCTTCTTAATCTATTGATGATACATAAGATAGTATATATATTTTATTATTTTCTTAATCTATTGATGATAGATACATACACATACTACAAATTCAATTGTTCGAATAAAGAATCTTCAAAAATAATACTCTTTTTATCATTAAAATCACGGATTCCGATGTAGACAAATTTAAAAGATATCAAAGCAACAATAATGTATATTATTTGAACGGACATACTAAAATCACAATCTTAAAATCCCCAATATGATGAAAACATTCGATCAATTACTGCCCTAGATCTCATATTGCTCTTGCTTAGTGGGGGTGCTGTTAACAAATTCACCAAATCTATACAGAGCACAGTATCACCATTAGCCCTCTTGTTTACCATTTAACACTTTATGTATACCCACACAACATCTCCACTCTGAACATTTGAAGCTGCAGCAGGAACAACCCAACCGGCATTTTGGCCATTCCGGTTTCCAACAACAAAACGACTTCGGCCACCTGCAGCATCTGCATCTTGGTTTCAGACATTCGGGGCATTTAGGTTGGCATCTGCATCTTGGTTTTGGAAATTCGGGGCATTTAGGTTGGCATAATTTAATCTTACAGCACTTCTCACTGGTAACCGAGTTGCCATTTGACCTTGCCGGTAAACCGAGACTCTGCCGAATCCTTTTAAGGCGAATTGCTGTTGTCGTGTTCTCCATTTCAGAAACGAACTTGCAAAGATGGCGAATGTAATCAGGGTATAGCTCCAAGTTGCAGTGACCACCTCCTTTGATCCACAAAGGCTCGTATGGTTCCCTTGCCATTTTCCAAAGTCCATTTCCATGCAGCCAATTGACAACATCATCGTCCGTGCCCTGATTAAGATGTTTGATCAGACCAACTTAAAAACTCGATACAAACACAGTTTCGAGGAAAATAAATGACATTAACACAGGCACTACTTGGCAGACACAGCAGGAACCACAGAGTCCATGCAGGCGCTAATGCAAAACAGAAATTTATCAAAGCAAGTTACAACGCTGAACAAACTTATAGTTTAAGCAAGTGTTAATCAATTCGTTGTATTACGAAACATATCAATGCTCGACAAATTTGAAAGGTACTTACATGTATTACAAGTACAGGACACTTCACCTTCCGAATCTTATTGATGTTCTGCATTTACGAAGATCGTAATTAGCTCAAGCATAGCAGCAGATACATAAGGTACAAACGCATCAATTCTGCTCAAATTTGGTTCACAGGTTATTGACATTCCCAACAATGTCAACCAACAAACTATCGGTTCGCTCTTATAATCAACAGTGTTGGTAACTTCCTCAGAATGCAGACATTCATAGATCATTACCTGATAAATGTCGTAGCAGAATGAGAACTTGACATGGCAGAGCACACGAAGGCCAGAAAGAATGCCGCTATGCAAAACTACACCTCTTAGCCTCGGTAGCTTAGCTGCCAAATGCAACGTCGGTCCACTTCCAACTGACTGTCCATATAAAATCAAGTCTTCCTGACTAACTCCGTACTCGGTCTGAAGACACTGATACACCGCCTCTATATCAGCATAAGTGTTCGATTCACTTGGCTGGAAACCATAAAACAAAAGCTTCAGCAAAGACATCGCAAATAAGACAGCTCAAGAAGACTAAACACAGAACTCAGGTCCATTATAAAATAGTCGATGATTGTCCCTGCGTATGCATGACCGGGAACAACTATAAATAGAGCAATGCAGCATTATAAAAACGACAAGCTACCTTCCCAGTAGATGCTCCATAGCCAGAATAGTCATACCTGGACCAATTGATAGCATGAAGTAAATAGCAGCGTAAAACAACAGCTAAAGTGATAAAGTAGCATATCCTCGAGATCAAATTGTATACAAATTGAAGCTAAAGTGATAAACAATTGCACATTTCTCCAAAGAAAAATGAACAACTCATAAAGCACAAAGGTGAAAACTAAAAAAGTGATTGCAGAAGAAGGAAAAGTAGAAATGACTACAAGCCATCAAAGCATTAACCCATTTTTTTACTTAAACTTTTTATTTGTAACAAGAAAAAAAACAAGTAAAAGAATTTCACTAATAGTACTAATTACAGATCTAAGACAAATAAGACCATTCAGAAGCAAAACAGTGAAATATGGTCAAAGATAAACCATAGAAGATTAGATTTACATGGTGGAAAGGTAGAACAAAAAGCTTTCTTTTTTAATCTTTCTAAAGATGAAATTTGTGAAAGCATCAACTTAGATAAATATACTAGAAAAATCAAAAGAAAGAACTTAGAAGAATTCAGACAACAATGACCAAAGCCAAGAACTTACACAAGCAAAATATTAATTAGTTCCAAGTGCAGGTTACCATAATTTTCAACCAGAAATAAGTGGGGGGGGGGGGAAGAGATACTGACCCCATGAGATTGACTCTGAGGTTGACCTTGAGCTGTACAAAGAGGTCATAGAGTTGGCCAAGGTCAGCAGCATTGCCATGAGAATACAGCACAGTGAGGCGTGCATATGGGTTTCTCAAGTAAAAACCAACAATCTTGTTCCCACGTCTGTTGTCGATTAAAAGCACATCCAAAGAAGGATCATCGGCGACGGGAGCAGGGGTCGAAGAAGAAGAAAGCACCGTGAGTTTCCCATTGTCACACTTCTTAACCTGATAAGTAGGTGGAGATGGTGGGAAAAAAGCAAACTTTGCAGCCAACTGAGACAACACACACCCCATTCACCCCCCGAGAAGAAGAAGAAGAGCTAAGATAATCCCAACTCATTGAAAAAGGAACAAGCTTGAGTGCATGACAGAAAAAGGAAAGGGAAAATAAAAGTGGGGTCTTTCAGTACTATTTAGGTAAGGAAACAGTGAAGGAAAAAGCTCTTAGCAGTAGATGGACTTTAATGGGGTGTCTTTACTTACGATGCTGAAGCAGTGGTGGGGGGAGAACGTAGGAGGTACAAAGAAGTTGAGATTTTGCCTAGCTAGATTTGTGAAAAATATTCATTTTTTTCTCTCTCTTAACTTTTAATTGGATTAGATTCTGCAGGATGATTGGATCAAAGAGTTTTTTCAAATGGAGAAGAAGAGGGAGAGTTTGATGGAGGGAAGTGTATGAGTTGGTAACTGGGGAGAGAGAGAGCTTAGCAGCTTTGCTAATGAAGAGAGTGGAAAACTATGCTTTATCCAATGAAAGATTGTCAATTGTTGGGTTCAGAGAGAGAGAGAGATAGAGAGAGAGGAGGAGAAATGGGTTTAGTTTTTGCTTGACTTCAAATATGAAAATGATGTTTTTTTTTTAAGGAGAACACAAATGCAAAATATATATATATATGAAGCCTGAAACTGATATGTGTAAGTCACTTCATTGCGTGGCAGTAAAACAGTACAGAGGGGTCAATACTCTAATCTCTACTACATGACAAGTTCCCCTGCCTCTGTCTCTTTTTTTCTCTTGCGAGTATACACGCTACTCCTTGCGTGCATATGTATATGGTCAAATTATAGTTTAGATCAACATAAAAATGTGTTTGAATTATATTAAGTGTTATACTTCAGTTAGGACTGTTAAAATTATTTGATATAATACATTTAATTTGCTTATTGATTGATTTCAATAAAAAAAAACATTAAGTATTTATTTTTAAAATATTTATACTTTTAGGGTGAATATTCATCTCGCTATTTTTAATGGGTTCAGGAGTTGGGCTTAGGCCACAATTTTTGATCCAATAAGTTTTCCATTCTCAATTCTCAAATTATTTCATCTAACGTTCAAAATATTAAATCATTTATTTTAAACTCAAAAGAATTTTAATTTTACTCAAATTTTACGAATATGTAATTAGCACAAGTTGGATTTTCCATGTGAATTTACTTTGAAAGTTCTTTTTCATTAGGATTGCAACTAAAACAATAGACACCTTTAACTATTTACATTAACTAATATTATATATATAATAAAGGCATTAAATTACACTCAATTAAAGTATAAAGATTAAATGTTCAATTTAAGTATATTGACGGATCTCTAAATCGTTCAATTGAAGCGTTAATAATAAATTGGAGTCCTATTTTCTAACTTTGGAGAGGGTCCCAAGAGCATCCCGACTGAAGAGAGCATGATTTGCAGATTGTATATAATTCATTGTGACTTGTCTTTTATGTTGAGTCATTGTGTGTGATTCACCACAGTTAGTTTGTTTGGAGAGAAACGATGACCCAATTGAAGAATTTGGAGACTTAGATGACCAAATGGGAGAGATTGAAGAACTTGGAGGATTAAATGTGAGACCATGAGAGAAATGTCAAATTCGATTCAACCATAAATGTTAGAAAAAATATATCATTTTAAGTTACATCCAACCTAAAATATTCTAATTTTTATCATATTTTCAATTATGTCCAAAGTTATTATTTTTTAGCCTTAAATAAGATTGGCAGCCCTTATACTTCCCCGAAAGAAGAGAAAAACAGTGGTAATAAGGTCAATATTAGCGCCTTGGTTTGCAAGGCTAATAGTGACAAGGATTTCAATTTAAAGATAATCTTTCTTCATTCTTTTTGGGTGTTAATGCATTTAGATTTCAGACATAATCATCATATTAAAAAAAATGATGGCAATTAAGTCAAAAAATGCATGCATGTAGGAGAAACGGATCAATTTTTTTTCCTCTCTTGGAATTGCCAAAAATCATCATTAATAATCCTCCCAAGTGTGTTCCATCTGCTGTGCCAATTCTTTAATTTCCAATGCATTACTCGTTGTTTGTTTTTCCTTGAAGGACAAGATTAGGGCAAATGCCATTAATGAAATAAATAAATACAAGAAGGAGCCGTGGTATTATTCTCTGGAAAATGCCAAAAAAATCATCACATGGAGCTCAGTAAATACTAAACGCATTTGGTATTTTGCTTTGATTTTATTTTACCAACCAAGAACCCAATCACGTGCGTTTATGTATTATGGACACTATTTCCCATGTTACCTATCATTAGAGATGGGCATGGGACCCGAAATCAACATGTTCCGACCTAATCTTATCCGACAAGGTCGGGTCGAGATTTTTTAAAAGTGATGTTCGGGTCGGGTTAGATTCGGATTTAGGGTGAAAAATAATCAACTCAAAAAATATAATTTTACCTTATATATTTAAGAATAATTATAATAATACCCCTCTATATATTATTATTTTTAACTAAATCACTATTTTTTTTGAGTAAAAATAATATTTTTATTGAATAAAAATAATTTTTTATTATTATTTCGGGTCGGGTTTGAATTTTATCTCAAAAAGTCGAGTCAGTTTCAAGTCGGATGGATGATATATATTTTTCGAGTCGGGTCAGGTGAAGAATGTGCAATTTTTGGGTCAGGCCGAGTTGACCGAAACCCAACCCAAACCCGACCCATACCCATCCCTACCTATCGTACTAATTCCCTCGATAGTCAATACACGTATATATCATATTAATTGAAGAAATTGGATATTAATTCCCTCGATAGTCAATACACATAAGAATATAACATGTGTTTATTAACTTTAAAAACTTATTGTTGCGAAATAATGTGTCTAAGACGATGGGTATAATAATTCAACTAGTTATTATCTCTTGATAAAGATGAAGGGTGTAATGTTTGTCACGGGGCTAGACTGCTGCTAGCAAGCTCGTGCTGCCTTAGTCGTTTTCAAGGTCAAAAATCGGCTAAGTAACCCAAACCTCCACTAAGCAAGAATGCTTAGAACGTTGCAAAACAAAGGAAAAGGGGGAAATAGAGGGATTGGCACACAAATGGAGAAGAGAGAGTTTAGAGTGAATGTTAACTTGTATTCCTCAATCTGAAGTGAGTAAATAAGGTGGGGGTGAGCCTCCTTTTATAGTTGGAGCCCCCTACAATCAACGATTAAGATTAAATTACATCAACGGTCAGAAGAGATCCCTACTCTATCTACAACTCTAAATTAAAGAATAATTAGTGGAAATTATCTCTAAGATAATTTCAAATAATTATCATGTCTTTTCTCTCTCCAAGGTGGATGGGCCAGCTCTATTGGGTCTTCTAGAAGGCCCAAAACGTGGCAAAGATAGTCTCTGGCAGCCTTGAATGAACTGGGCTCGGTCTTGGGCTGGCGGTCCGTGACATTCTCCCCCACTAGTCCTAGTGACGCCCTCGTTGCGCGGCTAGAGTGGAACTGGTCTATCTTATCTCGAAATTGCCATAAGGCTTCGAAAGGTTCCCAACTTCCCTCACTCTCTGGAAGTCCCTTCCACCGAACAAGGTATTTATGCCTTGGTCGTTTTCCCACTCCATGAATGGCTCTCTCTGCGTGGATAGCTTCTACTTCTATCTCGTAAGAGACCTTTACCCCGACTGGTGCTCGGTGTGACTTGCCTCGATCTAGCTCATCCTCATCCTGATGGTATGGCTTCAACAAACTTACATGGAACACAGGATGAGCTTTGATGGTCGAAGGCAACTCTAACCTGTAGGCCATGGTGCCTACTCGCTTCAAAACTTTGAACGACCCCTCGTATCTTCGCACAAGCCCTTTATGATATGGGTTGCGCAAGATACCACTTAATTTGGCAAAGACTAGGTCACCAACCTCAAAATTTACGTCTCGACGCTTTCGATCTGCCCACTTCTTGGTTCGCTTCCCAACCTTGTACAAACAAGCTCGGGCTAGTTCATATTGTTCTTGCCACTCATTGGTAAAATTGGTATGTTGTTGGATTTGGCCCTTGGTACCCAGTCACAACCGCATTTGGTGTGAGCGGCTGCTGCCCGGTAACAATCTCAAATAGACTCTGATTGGTCGTTTCACTCCTCTGTAAATTGTAGGAAAACTGGGTTATATCCAACAATTTCGGCCAGTCACATTTCGTGGCACTTATATAGTGCCTCAAGTAGGTCTCTACGAGTGAATTCACTCTCTCAGTTTGCCCATCCGTCTATGGATGAACACTCGTCGAGAAGTTCAAGCTTGATCCCATCAACTTGAACAACTCCTTCCAGAACCTCCCAGTAAACCTTATGACCCAATCATTGATAATCGTCTTTGGAACACCCAGTACTTCACCACGTACTTGAGAAAAAGATGAGCGGCCTCCTCGGCTGGACATACTTTGGATGCTGGAATAAAGGTTTCATACTTAAAAAGTTTATCAATCACGACCATGATGCTAGAAAATCCCTCAGAAACAGGCAAACCGTCAATGAAATCCATGGAAAGACTTTCCCATGGTCTCTCAGGGATAGGCAGAGGCTGTAACAATCCAGTTGGTCTCCTCTGCTCTATCTTGTCTTGCTGGCACACAAGACAAGTCTTCACATATGCCTCGACATCATTGCCCATGTGTGGCCAATAATAATGCTTAGCTATCAAGGCCAAAGTCTGGTGGATCCCCGGATGTCCCGCCCACTTAGAATTATGGAATTTCTTCATGAGCTCCTTTCACAATTCTTTAAATTGTGACACATAGAGGCGGTGTCTCGAGCATACAACAAGCCTCTATTGAGCCAAAACTTTCGAGTCTTGCCCTCATTGGCAAGCTCAATCAATGAAGTTGTCATCGAATCATATGACAACCCCTCCTTGATACGCTCCCGCATCCATCCCATCGGCAAACTCACAAACTCCATGTCATACCTTCGGCTTAAGGCATCGGCCATGGAATTCACCTTCCCTGGTTTGTACTCCAAGGATAAATCAAACTCGGCAAGAAACTCTTGCCAATGAGTCTGCTTCAGTGACAACTTCTTATAGGTTAAGAAGTAATTGTTGGCAACATTGTAGGTAAACACCACGAACTTGGACCCAAACAAATAATATCGCCATGTGAGCAAACAATGCACAACCGCCGTCATCTCTTTCTCATGGACCGTGTATCTCCTTTCGGTCTCATTGAGCTTCCGGCTTTCATAAGAAACCGGATGTCCCTCTTACATCAGGACCCCACCAATGGCAACGTCGGATGCATCGGTGAATACTTCAAAGGGCTTGGTGTGATCTGGCAACACCAAAATTGGCTCGCTCATCATGATAAGCTTGATTTCGTCAAAGGTACT